TTAAGAAAGTAGAGTGTAAGCTATGATAAGACACTGTAGCCTTTACCAGGTCAAGTAAGCGTGTGAAATGAGCGAGCAGTATGTCTCTCATGTATTAGCCCATTTAACTGGGGGAGCTGTGCTTCCTGTGGCAGTGAACTTCTCCCTGTGGCTGCTGGGAATTACAGTCATTCAGTGTGTGTCTTGGTATGATGGATGACACCTGCACCCGTTGAGCAATCGCTCCCTGGCACACTATTGTTTTTCTTTTTCTCACTTTTGCGTGGGAGCAAACTGTGTGCATTCTCCAGCCAAAACCAACTCCGATAATCATCTCATCTGCGTGATGTATGATCTTATCTCTTTGGAAGACAAGTTATCGGAAAGGACTGGAATGTCTTGCCAATTCCGGCCTAGTGAGGCTGTACTTGTTGGATCCGTCCCAGAGGCCTACTGCAAAAATCCCTCCAGCTAAACCAGGAGTGATGCAGCACTTTTTAACACCCGGCCCCATCGTTTCTACCATATGGTCTTCTTATCAAATACTCCAAACAAAAGCCAAATTCCAATGCAGTTAAAACACTGCATATAATGTCAGCTCTGTGCAACAACAAAACCAGACGCCGAGTCAAAACTATGTTGTTACAGTATGAAATCTCACTGTATCCTTGTAGCTCATTTGTTTGTACTGTACACTGCGGCTTGGCACAGAATGCCTTTGTGGCAAATGGTAGTCTTTCAGTGTACACGTAAGAGTGTGTCTTAACGGCTGTGCTCCAGACACTCTTTTGTCATTAGCTCTTGTTCCTGACTGAGTGTTTCTGTGTGTCTGCAAGGCGCTGAATGACTAGCATTGTGGTTCAGACACAAAAGAACCTTCAAATACTGGAATCTCCCAATATGTCACTCACTGATGCCTAGCAAAGGAATATACGTCAACCAGATGGCAGGTCACTGTGATAATATGCCCCTCCTCCTCTCAGCTGGGGGAGGCTGGATGTCTGCAGGAGGAGCTGGAGACCAGAGAAGGGAAGGCTGAGTGAAGCAACTCAGCAGCATCATCATCATCATCATCATCATCATCTCCTTGGTTTGCCCTCACCATGCTCGGTGCATCTGAGGCTGTAGAGGGGTGTGAAGTGCTCCCGCGAGTGTGTGGGTTCACTGCTGCCGCGCTCTGTGATTAAACAGCAGTATGTGCTGACAGCTGGAGTGGAAGAGCATGATGCACTGGGGCACAGTGGCGCAAGAAGCTGCCTCTCAGTGGTGTCGAGGAAATTACATATTTGGTTTCTTGGGGGCCTTGATGCAGTTCCATGACAAGGCATGGAACGATGAGAACATTTCATGTCACGATTATCCTCGTCAACACGTCACCATTTTATCCCGATAATCATCATTTTTTTCAGTAAATATCCTTTTTAGTTAAAAACATACTATCATAAATAAACTAATCATTACATCCCCCTGCATAAATTAAGCATCAAAAAATATCATTATTGTGAGTATATTCTTTCTGAAACAATAATTCCTGTATGTTTGTACTACTTCAGGCTGATCAACCTTCATTTTGAACAGAACCCTCTGTAAAGTTTCGTAACTGCATCTTGCACGGTTGCATTGCGATGACAAAAACTGTCAATAGGCTCCGACACAGCCAGAGACAAAGACAGAGACACACCTGGCAAAGTAGTCAAAAGGGCTTCTGTGAGAGTTCCAGCTAAAGTAGGTGTCTCTACAGACTCTCAAATTAAAAACAATACCAGAGTCGCTGTCCCGGCTGGTTCACTAATAGCCTCAAAATATCAAGATGTAATGCAGCGACAGGTTGCATCCTTTGTGGATCTGTCATCAGTTCTATAAATGCAACGCCCTCTTCTGCAGTATTTTTCGTCATTTGATTGACAAGGCACACAAAAGCATTTTCTCGACTGGAAAAACCTTGAACTGTTGCTGTTGTGACATTTCCATATACAGCACGGATAAGCTTTGTGACTGGAAGTTGTCAGAATGCATTCTGGGACATGAAGGTAATCACTAAAGTTACCGTCTGAGGGTGATTTGTTTCTTTAATTGACTAAATCAAGACCTGTACTACATGTCATACAAAGCTCAATTTCAGATTGTGGTTGCACTTTCTGTTGTTTTAGTTTTCCCCCTACAGCCTGTCAAGTCATCTGCCATCAGCTGTTCTTAAGGTGGAAGATTGATGCCAAAGTAAACACAGCCTAGTTTGGCATTCATGCTAGTCATTGCTTAATCCTTGTGCAACTGACATCCTGGAGACATCACATGCATTGCTAACTGACGTCAACCCCCGCATCTAAAGACGCTGGCTCGTAGTGCACCCAGACACAAATTCTCGACAGCCTGAGAACTGAACTCAACACGCTGAACTAATCACCGTATCTGAATGGCACAGCAGGGCAGGCCCGTTAATTAGTAAAGAGTGTTAACTACTGTTACCTTTCTAAGTTAATGAAGCATTTGGTAACCTGTATCCTTTAGAGTTCCTGTAATCTGAGGTTTACGATGAGGCCCAAAATCTAGTGTGAATCATTTTAAGTGACGTATCCAGATGTGCACAGCTGCTCTGGTCACTTGCAGGTACACGTAGCCTCTAGCAGTGCACTCCTTTTGATATTTGACCGAAATATAATTTGGATTGTTTTATAGCTTGTTGATGATGGAAATGCAGACACGTGACTTCCACCATAATAATCTGAGACTTAATGTTATTTTACTGCTGCTGTTGTTTCAACTCTGTCGTATTTTCTGTATTACTTTCCGGACTTTAAATCATTTTATACCTTTTTCAGGTTACAAATGTAAGAGACTCGCACCTTACCTGTTAAAACAGCAACAGTGCAACTAATAATTAATGGCAGAATATTATCCTAGAAAAACAGGATGTTGTGCACCTGGTAGTCTAATCATAACGGATCAAGAGGGATTAAAGAACCTTCAAATAGTTACTGACAATAACAGCAGTTTTTGCAAATTGCTATTCGCATTGGTGGATCATTTTTACATACCCAGTAAAAATCTGGATTGAGTTCCCTAAAGGGATATATTGTCCAGTGTTAAACTACCAAATAGTAATGTAAAGTATGGTCTCCAGCTTTATCGGCTACAACAATAAGAGTTATGTTAGAAATAATAAGCGGATGATTCAGTATATGATTTGGTAGCATTACAATGACGGCGGCTTTTCTGCTGCCTAAAGAGTACAAAAATACAAAAGGTTAGGTAATCCAAAAACTAGAGTAAACGTGAAGTAAAAGATCAAAATACATCTTCCACCACTAGCTTTTTGCCAATAAGCTATCTTCGTTTGGAGAGACTGTGAGACCTAAGAACTGAGTGTTCCGTTTCTATGAGATGGCAGAAGCTTTCCTTTTTCCCAGACTTTACTCTCCCACCCCGCATCACCTGTTGGAGCATGTTCGGTCACTTCCCAGCATCTTTGTGTTTGCACAGGCTGATCGAGCAGGTTTGGTTTCATTGTGTAATCTCATTACCTGCTGAAAGATTTGATGTGCCTCATCTTCACTACAGGCCGATAAATAGCAATGCCAGAAAACGATGCGTCCAAAGCCGTCCTGTTACCTTTTCAGTGCAGTATCATTAAACAACCGTAGTCGGGTCAACTGAGCGGTAACAGATGGAGTTCTGTTTGACTCTTGCCTGCTGGTAGCTTGGTTCAGTAGTTCTTGGTCCTCCCATTCGTACATTCAGATGCAACTGTAGACAAAGTCATTTTTTTCTGTGGTATTTGTGATAATTACTTCTCTGGGGAAAAAAAACCAGAGGACGCACCTTTTTATAGACAATATGTTTAATTGAGCTAATTAGAAAGAATCCATATTGACCGGCAGCTGTGTACAGACACAGTGGAATCTGCATGGCACCAGGAAAGGGATGTAGTGAGAAAAAGTCAGAAGGCCTCCATGCCAAAGCAGTGGCTTTTTCAACACAGATGCACATAGTTAGCGTGTGTGTGAAACCTCAGAGGCCCTCGCTGATCAACCCGGCTGCATTGGTTCGCCAGCTGCTGGCTCATTGCTGATGTTACTGGGTTTGCACGGATGATATGGTCGGTGGCTTCGGCTCTTCAAAATGCCGAGAATTATAGTCGCTCACAGGAATTTTGGAATTCAGACCCATGGTCTTGCAAAAATGCCACAAGACTCAAAACTGGTGGTTGGCATTTAAGTTATTGCAGAGTGACAATCAGCGTGATGATACGGTTCTGGTAGAAAGTTTGCTGGCGCTGGTTGTCTGTCCAAAACCATACGGTAGCAACAAAAAGTGCATTTGTCCAACAGTAAAACTTTAGGAACTAATTTTAAAGGAAAGAGGAAAAAAATGTCATGAACAAGCATTCACTGACTTTTGCCCATATTAGCAGTCTTATTAGGTTATTTTAAGTAGAACTGTCACACTTGACATAAAACATCATATTTATTTGCTGTCTGATCCTGCAGGGCTTTAAGATATATGTGCCGTTCAGTTGTACAAGTTCATATTGGCTCAATTGGTAGTTTTAACTGGTGAACAGCAACATTGTAATGTGCATAGCTGTAAGAGTACGCGGTACAAAGACTAGTCAGGAGGAACAAACAAGCCCTCTATGACTACAACTAATTATTGTCATCAATTGATCTGGCAATTATTTATTCGTTTTTTGTGTTATTGTGTTTAATTATGTTATTTACTGTGGTCAAACTTCTTCGTATTACTTCATCCAACAGTCCAACAATCCTAAAATATTCACTCAACATTGATATAAACCAGAGAATACCAACAAATCCTAACATTTGAGAAGCTGGAATTGGCAACTGTTTAGTATTTTTGCTTGACAAGTGACTTGAAATAATAACACTGTTGTGCTCACAACATCAGATATTTATGGAAAGAAAGATCTCCGAGAACTGTCCTGAGATCTGAGAACATAACAACCAGCACTCACCTCAATGTTCATGGTTATTAAAGTGACTTATCCTGTTTCTGCCATTCAGGTCTGGTAGAGATCTGCTTGATGCATCCCCTCGATGTAGTGAAGACAAGGTAAGCCACCCATTCATAACTTGACAACTCATACATGAACTCGTATTTCGTGTAACTTTAGCTAATGCATAATCTTCATACAAGAAAGACATTTTTAATCCACATCTGCCTTGAATCCTCTTGGTGGGTGTTTGGGTCTGTGTGTAGTGGAGTTCCCAGCATACCAGGTCTTTTTTCTTCTTCTTCTTCTTCCCCAGCTGGCCAACTCTGCGCTCATTCTCCTCACAAGTGGGCAGCAATGCCAAGAGCCTTAGATGTGGAAAATTAAATGCATCATTTAACCATTCATTCCCCCCACCATGTTAACATTAGACGTTTTTATTTTTCACCTTATCACATATTTTAAGAATACATACTTTTTTTTCGGAATGGCCTATTGAAAGAAGGTGACTTGCAGGATCAATCACTCAATGAACTCTGTGTCTAATATCTTGTGTTCCGTTAGCATCTCTTCTTTGTGTGTTATGCAAGAGTGGCAGCAGTCTTGAGCTGTAGAGTGATCAGGAGCCTCACACCACAGTGTCTCGGCCGGCCATAAACAGGTCGTGGGCTACTACTAAAGCTTTATAGTCTTTCACAGGCCTAGCCAAGACCTCTGGCTTCGGTTTGTACCCCCCCCACCCTGCCCCATTCACTACTTGTCAGTAAATTGTGCTGCTTTTTTTGTCATTTACGGCAGCAGTTTCTTGGTAAATAAATTGCTTGGCGTGCCTTTAAAATAAAAGTGAGATGGTTGCACTTTGAAGGCCGTGCCACCACCTGAACACAGAGAGGGAAGCGCAGGGATAAAAGCCAGAGGTGAGCGGTGGTGTATTAGTCGACATTTGATACTTTGAAGGCACACAGTGTGATTTATTGTCACGTGTAGAAACTATGGGGGTTTATTACAGGTAAGGCTTGCGCTCTGCCTGTCTGTCCTCACACGGGGTCAGGGTTAAAAGTGCACTCACTATTTTCTTTGTAACGCTCTTCCTTAAAAAGTGGTAAAAGGCGCTCTAAAGTTGGACAGGTTTATCTGTTTTTCTGTTTGTGTTGCCATGTGTTCATGTCGACAGGCTTTCTGTTGCTGGGAACGGGTCTGTGTAAATTGATTCCTTTTGGTCATGATCTGGGTTTGTTTGCTTTATTAACAAAATGAACAAACAGAATCGTCTTTCTTCTTTTTAATTGGCAGCTTTAGATGTCATAAAAGTGTCTAAACACCAGGAGGTTGCTGCTTATTTTGATGGCAGACATCCACCCAGAAACACGCCGTACCCGTGTATACATGCAATCATATTGTACATGCATGTTCACACACTTTAACATACCCACATGAATTCATAAACCAAGCATACATACCAGCTAATTGGGACACTGAGGGAGCGGAAATCTATTAGCAGGAACCTTGGAGCCGAGAGTCAGACACACCTTCACTGGGTCTCTCTCTCTCTCTCTCTCTCTCTCTCTCTCTCTCTCTCTCTCTCTCTCTCTCTCTCTCTCTCTCTCTCTCTCTCTCTCTCTCTCTCTCTCTCTCTCTCTCTCTCTCTCTCTCTCTCTCTCAGGCATGGCTCTTATTAGGCACCGGCTCCTGCTTTAATGTCCACCGGTCCAAATTGAACAGCAACTGGAGTATATTTACTTTTTTCCACAAACTCAGAATCAAAGGGATTCTCTCCCCCCCCTTTCTTTCTCCCTCTTTTTTTTTTTTTTGCTAGGTAAACTTGACTAAATGCGTACCTGCCTGGGAGCTGATGTTTACCTATTTTCCAAATGTGGGTTTATCTTTCTCCTCTTCCTCCGAGGGAGAGGAGGAGGGGCAGTGCATTTCAGATCTAGAATTAGCTGCAGTAGTTGGCATAGAGGCATTGCCACTAGTAGCTAAGTACTGCTGTTATGAATCAAAAATATGTCGGGAGAATTTGACAGCTTCTTCCTTTTAAATAAAAAGTGCTGATTCACCGACCAAGATGATTGTTTTTGTTCCTTATGACAAAAGTATCAGCTCGGTATTAAAAATACTGTTGGGATAATGATAGAGAGTATTTGACTAGACCACACTAGACATTGCTTTAGATGTAAAGTAAACATCTTGTCAGACTTTGTGCCTTTGTTGTTGCACTTTACTCCCTGTTGAGAGCTCATTGACCAGTTGAGCCATGACCCCTGTAACTCACCTTTGCTAACAAGTACATCTTTCTTACATCTGAGGGACTCCTGCAGAGCTCACCTTCCATCGGGTGTGACTTACTACCTCTTTCATCGTCGTGAAAGAGTTGAACATGAACAAATTTCTAATAAGTTCAGCGACGCAACAAACAGGCTGGTAGAGGTTCTGTGCGTTTCTTGAGATTTATTTACTGGACAAATGCCTAATAGCATCAGCTGTAGTGTGAAGAGACCTTTTTGTGCTTGTTTTGTCGGAAATAACAGACCAAAACCCAAAGCTGTTCCATTCACGATGATATAAATCAGAGAAAGGCACACACACAGATTCTGACCAAACTCTGTGTCAATAAAAGCTCATCAGGTTGGATGAAGGCAAAATAGCCGGGATGTTTAGAATGGTATATCGGAGAAAAGTTGTGTGCCATGATTTGTTTTTATGAACTATTTCAAGTTTAGGACAACTATTTACTACACATGTAACTTCTCATCGGAAACAGTTGCGTTTCTTGTTCTTTGTTTTCTTATCGTGAGTAAATCCGGTTAATAATCCGCCCAATATGTAAATGTTGCCTTCTTCACACAAAGTAAACCGTTAATTGCCCCCTCCCTCCTCCGTGGGTGAGGGCAGGAATGTGGGGCTGAAGGTGGAGGGCGCGATGCGGTGTGGGGAAGCCAGTCGTTGGTTGAGCAGAAAGAGAGACGGTGGGACCAGAGTTACAGCTTTTCATTAACCTGGAAACCACCTAGTTACATGGTTCATGGGCTGGTCTCAGCTCACTTGGAGGTAACAAAGGGTGTCGGGCGGCACTTTCTGCAGGGGGCTGTGTGCTCGGGGCACCCCATCTGACTCTGATCAGGTTCTCCCTCTCATTAGAGAGTTGCACTGAGCCTGCATTTCCCTTCATGTCGAGATCCTATTACATGGAGCTCCACCCTTATACACATTCATGCGCAAACATACTCGCTCTCATCTAAGCAGCTTCCCATCACCCATTTTACTTCCAGCCAAAGAGTGAAACCACATCTTCCTCGTGTTCGTGTCTCCCTGAGCAACTTCTCCCGTCATCGTGAACTTCTTGCGGTTTCTACGCCGTGCACATGATCCGATGTGTTTGCACAAAATACATCTCTTGACTAAGCCACTCCTTCTTTGCCTCTGTTCTCCCTCTGCACCCACACTTTCTTTCTCTCTAATGCTTTCCCGTTCTGATTCCTCCTCTTCTCGTCTTTTCTCTCTCTAAGATATCCACTCTTCTAAACTCCTCGCACTGAGCACTAACCGTTTCTACTGTTTTTACATTCTGTCTTCTATCGTTTTAGCTTTTCAGCAACCATCTGAGTTGCTGAAACTCAGCCTGTTGCATTAGCCACTACTCCAGCTAATATAAACCATACTGTGAAACAACATTGTGTTAAGAGCATTGTTTAAACTGCCATCATTCCATCTGTTTGTAGTGTGTTGAGCGATTGTGTAATGTTGTTTTAAATCCTCGTTGTACATGTGTTTCAGAAGATTTGTATTGAATTATGCAATTCGGCAAATTGTATTGTATGACATGGCTGTCAGAGTCATTGCAAACCACTAAGCCTTCCAGTAGCCTGTTTCAAGCCTGATTAGAAAAACCTGGTACTGGCCCTTGCTCGCGGCGGTATCCATGGCAACACTACCTCCATTTGGTCACAGCATGCATGAAAGTGTGTCCCACTTGGGGGGCTTGAAAGTGATCTTTGATGAGGGCTTTGACAGATGACGTCCAGTCTTTTTGGGGAACGTGTGATGGCGCTGAGGATGGCCCAAAGGCTTCACCCCTCCCTCCCGCCTCCCACCTCCCACCTCCGTTTGCCCCCAACTGCTTGGTGAACCCCAGTGCACTTATGGAGGAATCCCTGACACAACCCTCAAACAGCAGGGCACAAAGCGGCACCAGCCTGATGGCTGATCTTGCCTTGTAAAGGAGCAGGCGGGTCAGCGGTCGTCGAGCAGGCTCCTAATCCCTCCGGCGCTGAGAGACTGCGGGGCAAGACTTTGCTCACAGTGTAAAGCCAAAAACACATGCAGCGTATGTTTAGGATGAACCCAGCTCAGTCTGTGCTTCGCTTCATTGCACAAGCATTAGAGAGGGTGAGTCCAGTGCACAAGGTGGAGAACAAGTCCTTTCATGAGCGCAGCATTTTTGGCAGGATTAAAAAAGGATGCCTTGGCATTCCAGTCACACTCTCTCGGATGATGCCTCAGTCTTCTGTATGAAATATGTGGCTTAATTTAATTTAATATGGAACATTTTGATCATGGGCAAGATATACAGATGAATAAATGGGCCTATGTATCTACCCACCAGCCCATCAACCCCAAGAGTTACATCCATATTGAGTCATTCCTCACCTCATGATTTACATTTAATGCCAATGCAGGAAGCTGTGTGTCCTCTGTGAGGACAGAAAGTAAGGGTGTGTCCGTTGGGGTGATGGGATGGACCTGTAGCACGTCCAACAATCATGCAGGTAAAAGTTCACATCCATCACAGAAAATGAATACACAGAAGTGGGTCACAATGTGTTTTTTGCCGATATACAGGAAATGAGTTAGTGACTGCTAGATATGAGGATACTGTTCAAGGCACATCCACTCCGGGAATTGGCCGCATCCTTTACAGCTTCAATGTAGCCTAAGCGGACATTATGACCATGTGACATTTTTTACGTAACAATTGGACATCCTGGTGGTCCCAGCATTATATGATGCATATGATGTAACTGCAACGTCATTTCTATTCACCTTTTTAGTGTCAACTATCTAATAAAAGCAAAATGCCAGAAAAATAAACTTTTAAAAGCTAACCCATTACTTTTAA